ATAATAGATTTTCAGCCCACCATTATTATAGTCGTACCATATTTTTCTTGGCACAAATCTTTACCTTTTTTGATGAGGTACAAATGTTTTTGCACTGACCCATAAAAGGATAAAAAAAATATTATTTACTTATTTATTAGAAGATAATAATATTATATATTTATTAGATTCTTTACTAAACATTTAATATAAGATATCTTTTTTTTAGAAAAGTTTAAGTGATAAAAATACAGATTTATTTATTATTCTAAAATACTATTAAATTTATAAAACAAATACAATCAAATCTAATTATAATAATCTTTTTATAATGAAAATTGAATGTAATAGATTCAATATTAATAATAATTTATTATAAAAAGTAAAATAGTTTATATATATTGTTAATAAAATAAAAACAAAGATCACAAAATTTTGAAAATACTACAAATACTAAGGATTACAAAGAATCGATAAAATTCTGCTGATTATTTAGATACAAAAAATTTCTACAGATTAAATGAAGTTTAAGAATATTTAATATAATACTTATTTTTAATATTATACTTTATTTTTTTTTATTTTTTATATATTATTATTATTTAATTTATTTATATTTTATATATTAAATTAATTAGTTTATCCTTAACCTGTAGTATAAAATTATAAAAGAGAAAATTGCCACTTATAATGCTACTCCAACTAATGGACTTTATATTCTTTCTGGTTTAGACCTTTTTAAAACATTTTAGAAAATTTAAAATATTTTGATTTCTAATGATTATAAAATATGAAATAAAATTTTTTAGATTTATTATATTATTATACTCGAAAAGTTTCAAATTTTAATTAGATAGATTATCAATTTAAATTTTCACGTGATTTTATATGACGCCTAAATCGCAAAAAAATTGTCACAAATTCGTGATGAACCAATTTGGACACCCTAATGTTAAGGATACCCTTTTTTTTATCACGGGCGTTAATTATTCGCTCAATCGCCGATATTACAGGGGTCACGGCGATATCTCTGATTTTGCGGTAAATACTATTACATGCAAAAAAAATATTTAATAATATATATATATATATTTTTATAATTTTATTATAAAAATTTTGTAGATTTTTTAATTATATAATTGAATTATTTTCACCGAATTAAAACGCTAACTTGTTTTAGGAACAAAACTTTAATTATTTAATAATAACAAATTTATTTGAATGTTACGAATTACAGTATGTACGGTATCTTTCAAAAGATCTACATTATAATTTCTATAATTATGCAACAATGACAGTAAGATCATTGGTAGCTAAAAAGTAAAATAGTAAAATATATAACTGCAATTACAGAATCATTTGATATAAAAACCACGACAAATCGATTTCTCATATATTAAAAAAAAAAAATTTTTCCCATTTCAATTCAACCCTATTATCCTTTTTAACCAAAAATCATGTCTAAAGTTGCTAGTTCCTCAAAGCTTCCAACAATGAATCAAGATAACGTTTCCGTCACGAAAAAAAACTACAAAATTTTGCTTTGTTATCTTGTTTCCTTTTGTATTTCCTTTCTTGTTCCTTCCTTTACTTTTTATAATTTGTGCGCTCTTACCCATTTGGTTCCCGTTTGTTGGGTATAATTTTTTTACGAATAAATATAATAAATACGTATTTCTGTGAAAATCACTTATACTAATGTCGATCAATGTTTTATTAGACTTTATACTTTATATAAAGTAATTCAAAGAATTCAAGCTAATCGGCCCGAAACGATTCAAACTCTCTTAAAGTATGAGAAAAGACCCGGTCAAGCGCAAAGGTTTTTTGGTAAGAGAGTTTTCTTTTATGTTCTTAAATGGTATTGTGGCAAAACATGTAATGTCTTGATGTAATCTATTTATAGCTCGAATTAACAAGGACTTCAGGTGGCCCTCTTCGATGCCAGAATACCTTAGAAAGAGTGCCTTCTATGACATCGCTGAAGATGGGCCTGACTTCGATGCTGAGGTTGGTTTTAACATCATATTCTTCTACAACGCACTTGACAGAGGTGAATTTATTGGACATGAAAACGAGTGGGTGACGGTATACAAACAGAAAGTATTAGAATGTGGGCAAAGGTATGATGATGATAAATTGACCTCCGTTCTCGACGCTATGCCAAGTGCTGTTCAAATCCCTGTTGATCAGACACGTTTGCCACGTGGTCCACCGACAAAGATGGTGACAGTTCATCGTACCAATAATGGTAACGATTACAAGGTTTGAATTAGTGCTTGACTTATAGTTTTTGGAGAATAATTTTATTTTATTATGAAATTTAGTATACATTCATGTAAACTTCAAATTAATTAAATAAGTTTTTTAAATAAAGGTCAGAGTTCGTGTCAGAAGACCCAATGAAAGTTTAATCGATCTTCTTCCATGATTTTATTGACGTACAAGACAACAACAAAATGTATTCGTGCGTGGTCGATACAGGTGCTCCACATACAATATTACCGCATTATGTTAAAAAAACGCTTGGTAGGAAGGGATGGAGTACGCTTAAAGCAACTGCCGTAGGTTATGGAGAGCCTACAGAACAACATTTTGCATCTCAAATGTTTGAGGTGTCAATTGGTGACAACTACAACTGGAGCAAATGGGTACAGGCAAAAATTGGAGTCTGGGATATTTGTCCCGGCGAAAAGTGCAATATGGAGGTTTGCTATTAAAATCACGTTACGGATCATATGATTTATTATGTCGTAACTCGATTTTAATAGCAAACATTCCATATGCTCTTGTCGGTAATGATGTTTCGGATCAAATGGTCTATATACATGAGCCGGGTAAACCATTAAAAATTTTAGATGCTGAAGATGAAAGTAGACTAACTGGATTTATGATTACCTGTGCTTAAGGTTAAATTACAGTATATTTGTAAGATGAATTTCATCCTTACATATCAGGAAATAATATTCTGTGTATAAGACATAAATGTCATTTTGCAGATTGTATTTCATGTTCGCTTTTTAAATTTGGTCTATTGGCTACGGCTAAATAGTCGTAATTATTAATTAATCTTATGCAAAATAAATAAAGAAACAGTGATGCGTTATATTATCCTTTAAAGAAGTATCCTCACGCGCCGAAATTTTACGACTATAATACATAACAAAGTGAAACATTAAGGTGGTTTTCCTTGTCATTATCGAATAAGTTCTCCTCTCTCATTCCCCGGAATATACATATCTTCCCAGTGCGAAAAGGCGAAAGTGCGGAAGAAAGAATTAAAAAGTGAGAAGAGTGAGTAAAAGATAAATTACCTAATTATTTACTTAAATTTTTTTTTTCCTCTGCATTAGCGGATGGAATTCCCTTACACGAGACTATTAGCGATTGCATAATGACATTCTTACTTGGATCTCGTATCTAATTCCTTCTCCCCAATTTTTTTTTTTCTTTATATATTATGGAAATTAGATATTTTCGATCCAAAATGCAAAAACATGAATCATAAAATTTTACAAAGTTTTTCTTTAATGTATTTTTTGAAATAAATCAAATTCTATTTAAAAATGTCTTTTTTGATTATACGCATTTTTTTTATATTATTTCTTTGTTTTCTTTATACATTTTTTCTTTATTCTCTTTATACTTAGCATAAGTTCTTGATATATCACTTATATATATACTTATTTTGTTGTGATTTTCTATTTTTACTTAATACACTTATAACACATTTAATTATTATTTTTTTTAATATGCAAACTTATGAAGAACAAATAAAATATAATGATGATGGTTCTGTAAATGTGCTATTTGGTTGAACTGCTTGGTATTTAGAAAATGTACAGTTATCAAAAGTTACTAGGCACTTAAAAATTAAAAAATTGATGAAAGAAGTAATTTCAAATTAAACTTTTATTTTATTAATTAAATCACTTTTGATGCAATAAGTTAAGTTATGCATTTTAACGAAATGCATATATATTAAAATTTTATAAATATCCAATTGGTGATAAATTTTATATTCAATATTTTATGTAATATTTTCATGTATTAATACAAGTTTTCAGTTATAAATAAACATAAAAATTTTTAAGTAGTAATCTATTTTCATTTATTATGTTCTTCATATTAATAAATATATATTCTCAAAATTTTATATTAATTACATTTATATTTATTGAGATTGAATTGATAAAGTGTAAAATTTTGGTAAAATTCTAAAAAAGATTAGCATTTCACATAACTTGTGATTGTATTGATTAAATTTCTACGTGTATAAATGCAAATAATTAAAATCTATTAAAGAAAAATATTTTTTTAATATAATAAACAAATTAAATTAATAATATATAATAGATTATAGCTAAAAAAATTCAATGTTTTATTATAACTAAAATCTTGTATAAATATATAAAAATGTATTAAATATATAATATAAATTTTACTACTGATCAGATATCTATAAAAACTTTAACATATATATATGTATAGTCTGTGACATAAATATCTAGAATTTATTACGACAAATAAAAATATTGTAAATCTTATTTATTAGTTTCATATTTATGCTATTCATAAATTATAATATACAGATTAACAAAATAAAAAAAATTAATAATTAATTGTAAGCCCTTTTTTTTATAACTTTATTAATCTAACCTGACATATTATCCGCCAAATTAAAGAAAACATTTTGATCAATACTGTATTATTCTTGTTGAATTATGTCCTGAAAAGCAACTACACTAAGCACTTTTTCTTTTCTAATCCAATTATTAACCTTTTTCTCTACTTTTCGTTTAAAAATGGTCTATAAATTCTTAATTGAATTCAAATTAGGAGAGTTTGTAGGCTAATTGATTACTAAAATATTATTTATCGTAAAAAATAGTTGAGTGCGTTCTGTTGTATGAGTTAGTACGTTATCTTGTTAGAAGCTTCACCCATAGTCAGCACTGTGAACATTAAAAACAAGCTGAGATTGAAGAATTTCACAATATTTTTCAAAATTTATATTTCCTATAAATAATTCAATCCCAATCAGTTCTTGACGAGAAAATGCATTCTAAATATACATTTTGTATGAATGTTTTACCATAAGATGTAATGGACATGTACTATTAGCTTTGTAATATACTAATAGAGTATTACTAAATATTTAAAAAGTGCTTTCATTTAAAAAAATTGTATGAAACCAATCATCTTGGTTATGCCTTAAAGCCTACTGGAGACGTGCTTCAATATGATTTTATTTAAGGAGAGGAACAGCTCATGGCCTATAAATCACATAATTAAGTTTATTTTTAAGGATGTATTGAACAGTCTGAGTTGATATATTAAGGTCTGAATAAATATTATTTAGTTTCATTGTCATTAAAGATGAAGATATTGTATTATTAACTTAGACAAGATGATCAAGATATCAGAAGTAAGAATAAGAGGATGATCAGGATAAGGTAAGTACTCAACATTTTCAGTTTTTTTTAACCAGTTGATAATATCATATATAGTAGAGCTTAAATAACCAGTTATTTTAATTATTTCAGAGGGTTTTCATATGTTTTTAACCCATAATTCCTTTACAGTCAAATGTCTTGTTTCAAAAACTGAAATGGGCACTATAGATTAAGTTTTTTGTTGATAAATAATCACATAAAATTTTTGTGACATTATTTTTATATCTATAAATAGCTAAAAAATTACTATTTTGATTTTGTTTTAGGCAGACATAAATTGGTAGTATAGAAACTTTTTGTGCTACTGATAAAATTCTGGATATTTATGTTGCGGATTGTATTTTATTATAATACATATTTTACTTATTTTATAAAATTGATTTAATTAATAAAATAATAGTTTATTTTGAAAGAACTTTTTTTTATCAATTTTCTAATTTTAAGTACCTAATGAATTTTAATACATACTGTATTTATTTTAAAATTTGCTGGTTTAAAAGCAAAAAAGACAAGTTATACCTATATTAATTAAAGCTAAAATATTAATTATTAAGTGTATTCAAGATATTGCTGATTATTTAGAATTGATAACTATATTAAAAATAAAGAAATTTACAAATTGCTTTAATGATATTCTACTATTAATTTCAAAAGAAAATGAGTTACTTACCAATATTAACTTAAAAATTGATAAAATTGGTAATATTAGTATTAGGTTATGTACTATTCAGAAAATGAAAATATTTGTTAACACTTATATGATAATGTTAAAATTATCTTGATTATGTAAAAATTATAATTTAACTAAAAATTTAAAAAATGCAAATGATATATATTTATGTAAAATTAAAGTTATTTCTGAATACTATTTATTATAGTTAAATTCAAAAACTTTATTATCACAATCTAATATAATATATTACTAATAATATACCAAAAATTTTTTATATTAATCTAACCTATATTATTAGAAATTCAATAATAATTAGCAGAAAAATAGACCATAAAAGTGTAAAATGAATTAAAACTAAAATATTGGTTCTACTCAATGGTATTTCAGAAAATACAATTTTTAAATCTTTAACAATTAATACTTAATTTGTAATAATAGCAAACTTTAGCAATTTATTAAAAGAGTAAATAAAAAATTTAAAGACAATTTAAGCCTATAGATATAACTTAATAAAGGCAATGATATTTATTATATAATATTTTTAGAGAATGAAGAATAATTAAAAAGTCTTAATATATATAATATAATATAAGATTATTATAAGACAGAGGATAGAGATATGAACTTATAACAAATAAATATTATATAATAAATATCACTGTCTTAAATTAATTAATAATAAATTAAAATCTTATAGTTATATATTATATCATTAAGTTGTAAATTTAAATCAACCTACTGATTTACCTAATCAATATTATTATTTAATATTTTTAGATAAATTTTGGCTAAAAAATAGTCATAATAATAGATATATATATTTTGGTATTAATAGAAAATATGATTTTAATATAGATTGTATTTGAGTATTATTAATTATTATTGAAAATAGAATTAGTCATATATTACTTTTTGTATTTTATAATTATGTTTTGATTATAAAATAGCAATAATTTTTAATTCATAAGCTAATTTATTTATTTAAAATTTTTTTAATAGTATTAAGCAATAAAGAAAATAATTTAATGATAAAATTAATAATCAATATTATAAAAAATATTTCTTGTAATGATATATTATATCAATATAGATAGTATTACGAAAATTTATTATTAGATAATAATTTTAAAAAAATAATTAGAAATTATATGTAATGATTGATAAATACCAACCATTAAAATTTACAATTTAAAATATATTATGTAAATTAATATTGTGTTAGTTTCATATAATTAAAATATATAAGAAAACTCTTAATAATTATCATATATTAGTATAATTTTAGTAATATTTTAATTAAACTTTATATTTTTATTACTATATAAAATTAATTTTTTATATTAAATATCTAATTATATTAACATTTAAACTTATAAGATAATTTTGAATTAAAGTAACTATAGATAAAATGATTAAAATTTTTTAATGAATTTATTAATATTCTACCTATAAAAAAAGTAAGAAAAAAAAATAATAAATGATTTATTAAATAATTGGATGTGTTTTAAATGGTAAATAAGCTTTATAAATATAGGTTAAATTCTAACTAATATAACAAATAAATTATTATAGACTATCAATAATTTTATAGCATAAATTAATAAAAATAGAATCTATGTATACTAATAATTAAAAAGTATTAACATTTTTAAAACATATATATAGAATAAAATTCTATTATGATATAATAACAGATAGAAGTAGATAAACATTTTTGAATCTAAACTGATTACATTATTTAATACTTAAATAATTGAACAACAAGTATTTCTATTTTATTTTAAAAAATCTATGAAACTTAAAAAAAAGTAAAATGATATAAGACTTATAAAAATAGCAAAATCTTAATTAAAAATTAGAGAAATTAAAAGTTTAAATATTTTATTAAATTCAAAATAGATTTAAATAAGTTACTTTACTAATAATATATAATTAAAATAAATTTTTAGAAATAAAAAAATTATTGATAATAATAGTATGATAAAATATAATAATAATTATTTGAAAATAATAATAATAAAAATTCTGATAATTTCTAAAATACTAAAAGTAAAAATATATAAATTATATGGAAAGTTTTCTAAGGAAATAGAACTCTAAGACCTTTTCACTAAAATTAAAAATTTTGCTTTATATTAATTTACTATAATAATTTTAAATAATTAATTTTTAAAGTATTTTAACTTAATATTAAAATGAGTAAATAGCAATTGAATTTTTACATATAAATCTAAAAATAGAATTTAGAAATGATGAATATGATTAATATATTATTTAGAAAATGATTAATATAATTTAATATTTTATATTATATTATATAATATAATAAAATTTTAAAATAAAATAACTTGTTATTTAATAATTATAAAAAAATAAAATTTAAATCCTCTTATTAAAATAAATTAAATAGTAAAATAATTATATTTAAATAATATATTATAATTAATTTTTAAATAATATATTATAATTAATTTTTAAATAATATATTATAATTAATTTTTAAATATAATATTTTAATATTAAAATATTTATTAAAATAAAAATTCAATTTTTTTTTGATATAGTATAATGATTTTTTTAAAAAATATTTGCTTTTTAACCAATTTTTTTGTCACATAATATAAATTACATGATTTAAAATTATAAAATAGAATGTTTTAACATTAAAGCTTAAATTTTGTTTATTAAAAATAGAAATTAATTTCAAAACCTCTTTTTTCTAATAAATCTTCTATATATTAATATAGAAATTTCTAAATTAAATTATATAAAATTAAATGAAATAATATTAGAATGATTATTATATTGAATTTATTTTATAATATAATTTTTTAAATATTTAGAATAAAGAGCATTTTACATTTCTATTCAAAAATTTTATAAAAAAAGAAGATAGAAAATTTATAATATATTTACTATTAATCAAAAAGAAGTATTTGAAAATAGAAAAAAAAGAAATAAAATTTTAATATTTTTAATAAAAAATTATTTAATATTATAATAAATATATTTTATTATATTCAAAAAATATTAATTTTGAATTTTATTTATATAAAAAAGAAGATAAAGATTATTAATATTTGATATTTACTTTTATAATATAAAAATGCAAAAAATTAATAAATATTAATTTAAGTTTTTTTAGTATATAATTTAAAAGATATTATATTAATATAAATTACTTAAAATCACTTATAAAAATAATTTATGTTAATGTGAGTTTCAATATTAATGATAGAAAATTATTTTGTATATTAGTAAAAAGATAATAATATATAAGTTTAAAAAAATTATTTTTAATATTAAAAAATATCAATCTTAAAAATGATAAAAATTTATAATTATATGTAAAAATAAATAAATAATTATATATAATAAAAAATTTAGCTAAATTATTAACTAACAATAGTAATAGATTTTAATAAAATAAGCAAATTTTTATTTAAATTATCAAAGAAAATATATAAATAATTATATTTTATATTAGAATTTTAAGTAATAACTAACTCATCAAATAATAATATAATTAATCAAATGAAATATTAATATTCAAATATATATTACAAAGTAAATCTAAATTTGATAATATGGGAGTGTTTCTAGGAAAATCAGGTTCTGAGAAATTTTTGACTAAAATTAAGAGCTTTAATACATTTTAATCTAATAACATCAAAAACTAAAATGCAATAAAAATCTCAATTTCGCTAAAAAATTTCTGGAATCTGATTTTTCTAGCAATCAACCCATATATTTTACTTTAAATTATTCTTATTAGTTAATTCTAAGAAAAAGTTAGTTAAATTGAATTGTTTATAAATTTCAAAGTTTTGTTAACTTTTAATTTTTGATAAATTAAAAAATATTAGCAATTTGTTTATTTTAATTACAAAAAATTACTTTAAATATAAAATTAATATAATGAATAATAATTTATTTTATATTATATAATAATAATTTCTAAATATGTATTTTATAATTATAATTTTTGTTTAAATAAAATTATTAGTATACTATATGTTAAATTATGTATGATATGCAAATTATCAGTATAATATATATATATAATGGTCATATAGTGTTATATATTAATAATTTTTTATAATTTCTATTTATCTTATTATAAAAGTTTTATATTATATTTAAAAAGTAGAAGAAAAAATTGTATTATAAATTTCTATTTTAATATTTAAAATATAATTATTAATTTGTTGAACTTTTTTAGCTTATTAGAAAAATTTCATTTAATTTATGAAAGTATAAAAGTAATTTATAAATATGGAAAATGAGGGTTTTTTTTTATTTGACAAAGGAGAGCAATTTCTATTTTTGTCTTATCATAATTATAAATAATAATAATGATATTAATAATAATAGCAAAGTATGATTACAATTATAAGCTTAATAATAGGTCACTAACTGACATTATGTAGGATTCAGATAACTAGAATCTTGATGATTACAACATAAATGTCATTAAAATATAGATAATGAAGGGTCAAAATATTTTCATACTTATTTGGTAATCTCTTTCTCAGATTTGCATTCTATTTACTACTAAAATTTCTTTAGGAATTGAAATCTGTGATCACTAATCGACCTAGATAAGAAAAAAAGCTTTACATAATCAAATTTATCAAAATTTATATTTGGTTACCAAGTGGCTAGAGTGCAGATTTTAAAATCGAATTACGAAAATCATATATGATTCGTAACGTGATTTTAATAGCAAACCTCTAAAAAAATTAGATTTAATGCATAATTTTCTGTATTATACTCAAAAAATTAAATTAATTGATTTTTCCCAAAATTTTTAAACATAGTTTCTTACCGCATTGATAAACATGCAAAAATGCTATCAATTTTTTCATTAAAACCGAAGAGTAAAATTAGTTTAATATCCCGAGATACACCAATCAAATTAATTTTGCGCAATCATGATACGTAATCTGAACTACGTTATTTAAATATAAATAGGCGATCTCGAAAATTTTTATTTCCTGGCAAATACTTGCTCTTCTTATATAAAAAATGGCATCATATTTTGGTATATATTTTTCTCGCAAATTAAGTTATTGAGTTTTACCTACCCACTTTCACAATTACCAAATTTTTCCCCCCTTAATACTTTTTTTTACACAGACGAAAAAGGAATTTCTGATCCATCATTGACGAAAAAAAAATCAAATCATAATCCAGATGTATCCCATTTCTTTAACGATGGTTCTTCCTCCTCTTCAGCAACCGGTACTAATGAAGCTATTACGGAACAATTTTTACACTTGGCAAAGTAATTCCTTTATTTTAAACAATGTCCGTTTTAATGTATATATATATATTTATTTATTTATTATTTATTGTTGTTAGTTTATTTAATTCATTGAGAGACCAAACACCCGATAATAATAATAATCATCAACAATTTTTGGATAATTTAGTTACGCAATTGTTAGAGGAAGCCAACTCGAGGTAATAAAATTAATATACCGAATCTAATTATAAGTCCTTTACACTTTAAATATCTTAATCGAACTTCTCTTTCTAATATATCAAGCGCAAAGGGACCACCACCGGCTAGTAAAAGTTTTATAAAAAATTTGCCCAGAGTAACCAAATCTGAAATCAAGCCTGGTAAGTTTAAATCTAAAAATTTATTAAATTTCTATCCAGAAAGTCCTTATTTGATTCCTTTTTATACATAGATGACACATGCATTATTTGCGCGGAACATTTTCTATCAAATGAAAAGACCAATGTAACAAAGTTACCTTGTAGTCATATGTTTGATAAAGATTGTATTTTACCATGGTTAGAATTGGTAAGTTTATGATTTAATTTTTGCACAACATCCAATCAGAAAATTTTTTAACGGGAGTTCTTTTCTACTTCTTTAGCATAACACATGTCCAAATTGTAGGTTTGAGGTGGAATCCGATGATCCAGAGTGGAAAAAGAAACAAAGAGAAAAACAAAAAATTGAAGACTCAGAAGAGGAAGACCCGAATGGGATGTACGGTTAATTTGTCAATTTTAAAAAAGTAATTTGGATATAATTAAATAAATGAAATTTTTTTTTTTTTAAAGTACGCCCGCTAACACACTACCAGTGTAATTATTTATTAATATAAGATCTAAAATAAAAAAATATGAATGATACAACTACAATCTTTAAAATACAAATAATAAAATGCTATGATCATTGTTTCTAAATCAATAAAGGCGAGATTAAGAACATTTAATTACCCAACCAAACAATTAGGAATGGTGATACCAGGTTTAAGGGATCTATCGTCATAGAAAAGACCCCAACTTCCTTCTAATTTGGTCCAAGTTCTTTCTTTCCAAGGAGTATCAAAAGTTTCAAAATAATAATACTTGGTATTTAATTTATTAGCATCACAAACAAAAGTATTTAAGAAAGTTTGTAAGTTAGGTATGGAGGCAACAGCGGCACTTTCAGAAGCGCCAGCGGTTGGCCATCCTACTTCAGATATAATGGCATCTTTGCCTGCAGCTTTGGCAGGGTTCACATCATTTTCATTGAAAAAGTCAAATGTCCATTGACCGGCTTGTTCAACGGGTACACCACCAAAATAAGGATGCACGTTTGCCCACATGATATCATTTGCAGCCACATAGGCGGCATCAACATTTGAACCTAAATCCGATGTAAATACGGGAAGCTTTTTGTTAAATCCCATCGAATTGATTTCTTTTCGTACATCAGCCATCCTTCTGTATAATTTTTCTGGTGTGACCTCTTTACGAAAAAGAACTTCGTTACCCACTGATACACCATCAATATTATCTATTCCATATTTTTTCACCATATCAATTAAAGTGTCATGTTGACGTTTATAAGTCGTATCATTATCATCAACCCAAATGGTGGGGACGATGGTCATGTCTAATTTTAACAATTTGATGGCTTCAAGGGTCCAATCGGACATATGACAATCCATACCATATAATCTGATCCTATTAGTTAGTTGAGAAATCAATTTAACATCCTCAATAACATCCCCAAGAGTATTCGTACACCCAGGAAATGTCGCATTGACGGGACCGTAATTTATACCGTAAAAAGCCTTCTTTAACGCTGGATTTGGTGTGATGGTTAAGTTAACGGGTTTTTTATCCCATGTTAAGTATGTTTGTCCATTCGCCGTCGGGTCCCCTGATTTTTTATCATCATTCGAAATATCTATATTGTTATTGATTTCGCCACCTTTATTTTTCATTAAGTATGCATAACCTACACCTCCAACAACACATAATAATACAACGATACCGATCGCTGCTACTATAAAACGGTATTTCTTTTGACTTTTTTGCTGTGATCTAAGCCATTCGCTTTTCTCTGGATGTCCCATCCTTTTTAATTTTTTATTTTTTTTAAAAAAAAAGTCAAGGATCAAAATGGACAAAGAATCTTGAATTAGAATAAATTCACCTTAAATAATATATATATATATATATATATATTTTGAATTAACACTCACGTTATCTTTATCTAAACGGAAATTGGAAAGTAGGATTTTACAGTATATAAAAGAGTGTATATACTATTATATTTAGAAATAGAAAGGAATAGTTCCTTAACTATTAATGAAAGGGAAGGAAGAAAAGAAGGAAAAGGAAGGAAGGAAAAGTATAAAGGAGGAAGAAAGGGAAGGGTTGACAAAATTTTGACGAATGAAAAAAAAAGCGATTTATATTCGTATCACATTTATGGGTGTACAATACTAAACATCAAATTAATTTTAACTAGTACACATATGAATACAATTTCCATTAGATCCTTATTTGGATAAAAAATGAACGAATTGCAATTTGTTAACATCTAACAAAACCTAATTCAAAATTCAAATATTATTACTAATGCCATTTGCGTAAATCCTTGTTATCCATAAACCTGAGATGATTGGAATACCATTTACACATCTAAATAATATTAATTTTGTTAATATTTTTATTTTTTTTTAAAAAAAAAACATCGAAAAGTTATTGCAAACCTTTTTTGGAGCCTTTTCGTGCAATTCATCCAACAGATGCACACTTCTCAACCCAGATTTCCTACACAAGAAAAAAAAACAGGATATTAATCTCAAAAAAAAGGGGGGTAATAGAATACGGTAATTCATGACTTACCATAATACATAAGAAACCAATTGGCCCGAGTCGTTGTGTCTAATAGATTCGATTTCGTCAATCTCTTCGTTCCAATCAATTAAAATATTGGGATCGGCATATGCCCTAACGTTAGGACATTCCATGATTAAATTGTATTGTTCATTTTCTTCTTCCTCGTATTTTCTTTTTATTTGTGCTGATGGATGTCCAAGTGAATTTCTTTTCCTTTTCCATTCATTCCAATAGGTTGATAACATTACGCTATCATTTCTAAGTTACACAAAACTATCTTTCAGCATAAAAATAAAAAAAAAAAAAGGTCCAAATATTAAACTTACATCGTTTGCGCATTTTCCCAGCTGTTATAACTTTCCGGCAAATTATCCCATTTAATTAAATATGCCAACTGTTTCTAATGGAATAAAAAAAAATTATATAAATAATAATCATCATTTCATAAAACATCATCATTAATTGGATAATTACACCATCATATTTGTGATCTAAAATCACTTCGGGATAACTTTTATCAACCTCTTCCTCCTCTTCTTCATCATTTACAATGAAATCACTCATTTTTGGTTTTTTAATCATAGATTTATGTTTAACATATTTAGTCTTTGGTAAAGAAATAACGCCTTCAAGTGGGGGATTAGGTTGAGGTCTTTGAGAAGCATATGAATGAATAGGATAAATATATATAGAATGAGAAGACAAAAGTTCGGGTAAAGGTTGAGAAGAAGGGGGATTAGGATGATTATAATCTTTGCCTGAATCTATATCCATGGTATGTTATTATGATAATTAAAAACCAAACTTCAAAAAAGGTAACGGTCTTAGCAAGGATTCATTCATCCTTATAAAATACTGATAATTGATGACGTATGAGAATAAACTTTATCAAAGTTTAAATATAATGACGTATGATTTATTGATTTATTATTACTACGCGAGTTTATCTATTCGGATTTTTTCACGGACCGATATTTGCTATATATTTTGCTGATCGACATGATATTATTAATTATGACCGTAATTCGGATCAATCCTAAAAAGAAAAAAATAAAGAAAAGTCGATGGCGTTTTTTTTTAGTTTCACGAGATTGCCATAGATATATAGATAACTCCCGCCGCAAATCGGGAGACTTTTTTGTTCGATACAATTTTAAAAACTTTTTTATTTATTTACACTACATATAAAAAATATAAAAAATGAAAATCATGCTCATTTTAATTTATCAAACACGTTTCGTTTCAGGATCAAGTATTATGGAATCATGTCATGATAATGTTTAATGGTCATTTTACACAATTCCCATTGGAAATTCTATATTAAAGAAAATCAATTTATATCCGGAACTCAAAGCACGTTCAGAAAGCAGCCCATTTAATAACTCACCTTTGTTTCTTCCAATAATTCCGTTATAATACACTTTCCTTTTTTCCACCAAGCTCGCTCTTCTTGTATGGTCTTTAAGACGGTAACTCGAATATTTTCCACATCAACAGAACTTCCGGCACCACCAACATATTTTGCATGTTTTTTACATATTTTTTTAATCGCCAACTTATTTAACGGGATGAAATTGGTTTTAACTAATTCCAAACTTTTTATAAGTTGATGTAATTTTTGACTTAAATCATGAAAGGTGGGTGCTGCGGACGAATTTTGCTGTTGCTGTCGATCATGATCAAATATTTTTTTTTTTTTTTTTTTGATTTTGAGAATTTTTTAATTCAAATTTGTAATTCACACTTTTTTTTATATTATAATTTAACTTACTAAACGGTATGACTGTAAGATTAAGCTTTGAAACTTGGTTCGAAGATCATCAAGTAATTCCAAGTAGAAAAGTTCAACTTTATCTACTTCATCTTTTAACGTTTCGAAAAATGATTTTTCGGCGGCAGCTGTGAGCATCGAGTATTCCCGGTATTGACTTTTATATCACGGAAAAAAAATCTTTTTGAATTATTGTTTCTTTGTGTATCGTGATATCGAATATTTTCTAGCTAACCTGATAAGCGGGTTCAACCGTTTTTTCAACTTTTTATAGTCAACATACTTTTCATCGCAACACGAGGAAAAGGGTAAATATGCTTTTTTTTTTTTTTGCTTTGAAGTCTAGACTCATCTCAAAAACAAAGAAAATGTCAACTTCCAAATACCTGTTGAGACCACTCTGAAACTTGGTTATCCAATAGTTGTTTCCCAAATTTCATTTCGTTTGTCGGGGTCAAAATTCTTTTAATTTTTTTTTTATTCTTATTTTCTTTTTTTTTTTTAATTAAAAAAAAAATTAAAACCAAAAAAAAAAAATAAGAAAAAATTGCAAAAAGTTTTGTTCGATAAGGTTGGTTATAAATACATACAGTATTGATAAAAGAGAGTTAAAACGGTTAGGCTCAATGGCGTTAAAATTATACGGTTGATCAATGACAATTTATATGTAAATTCTATACAAAGGTTGTCGTCATTTTCAACTTTTCGATGAATTTTGGGTTTTAAAAATGGAAAAAGAACTACCGTACTTGTCATGTGAAAAAAAAAAAAATTTAAAATTCTGCATATAAACGCTTAAATTTTCTCATTGTATAAATCACAAAAAAAAAAAATTTTTTTCCTCAAAAAAAAAAAAAATCAAGGGAAAAAAAAATAAAAATAATAATAATGTTAAGGCTTCATGAATCTCATCACGATTGGCAAGATATAAAATCATATTTAGCTATATTCATATTTATGATAACATGGCTTTTAATAATGAAACAACGCTCAAAAGTTAGTAGTCATAACGTTGTCGCGATTTTAGGTTGTAGTTTAATGGTATTGTTTGATGTGGTCACTCCAATGGAAGTTTTTAGTAGCTTCCGTGGAGAGACTTTATTATTGGTCGTTGCCTTCATGATAATTCATGGAAAGTTGGAGCAAAGGGGTTTCGTCGAATTCTTAAAACGTGTCTTGCTCTATGGTAACCCGTCCCCTGCTTGGTTGTTGGCAAGGGTATCCTTTCTTTCGGGTACTTTGGCTGCTTTGATCATGGATAATGGCGCCGTTACTTTTTTGAGCCCTCTCGTTTTTCGTCTTTGCGATGAGAATCGTCTTGAAATTGAACCATTCATGATTGCACTGGTAAATGATCTTTGTCAATCGTTACCTCATTTGTCTCATGTGTCACCCGTCATGCATAAAATTTAATCATCTCGTTTCATTATTATTTTTTTTTTTTTTAAAAAAAAAAAGGCAACATCTGCAAACATCGGTTCGGTTGCTACAGGTACAAACAAAGTAAATTCCCTTGCTCGAATTTTTTTTTTTTTCTGATTTCTTGATTAATTCTGATCACCTCACCTTTTTGATCGATCGAAACAGTGATCGGAAATGTGAAAAATTTGATCATCGTGGAGACCATTCCCGATATTTCATTTTTTGAATTCTTTGCTCAAATGACACCCCTTGCTATAATGGGACTCGTATTGAACACGATATTTCTCACGTTTTATTATCGTAAAAGTTTTGCCGATCGAACGATCAAACCTTACAAACCACCAAAGAACATCAATACTTCCCCAACTTCAACAAATCTTTTGCCTCAAAATGCGGTTGCGGGAATAACCGCAACATCACGTGAAATCCCTGCCATGGAATCTTCTTATGATTCTGATGAGGATAATTTCGCGTCAGGAATAATGAGTGATAGTGATGGAAGAGATGAGAATAGTGACATGGAAAGTAATGATGATGAATCATTACATAGTGAAGGAGAAAATTCTAACCTTCTCGCACGTAAAAAGAACACCCTCCTCACTAGACCACAATTTGCCAATGAATTTTCTTCATCACCGGATCGTTTACCACCTCTGAGAAATTATGCTTATGAACAAACGGTTTATATGAATGATGATGATAATGATGTTACAAGTCCATGGGTGATTAGGAGAGAGAGTGGTTTTAATTACAATCAAAGACAGAGTCAACCGGCGTTAACAAGATTTGCTTGGGCCGCGCCAGATCCAGAATCTAATTCGCGTGGTTTACAAGGACTTGGATCAAATATACAAAAACAAACCGAACGATTTATTAGTGATACGAGAAATTTCTTTGGAAATGGATGTCTATGGAAGAATGCTTTTTTTATCACGATAATGTTTGGAATGTATCTGGCATTGTTCTTTGAAAAAAGTTTTGGGTGGTCCACTGTTACCGTGGCATCTTTATTATTATTCATTGATAAAAAGAATGTGTCCAATGTTATCAATAAGATAAATTGGGGTATCGTCGTTTATTTGATTGGTATATTTGGTGTCATGAGAGGTCTTTACGCAACTCCAATACCTGATTTATTATGGTATCAATATGAGGAGATGTTCATTAGACCTGATATACGAAAAATTTCAATATCAATGTTCGCGTTAGCATTTATGTCAACCGTGTTCGCTTTAAGTTTAACTTCCGTACCGGCGGTCCTTTTAATATTACCTTATATACCAAATATAATTGAGCCAAGCCTGAGAAATAATGCTGGATATTTATTGGCTTGGAATGTTGTCTTGGTTGGAAACCTATCGGCTCGTAGAAGTTCTGCTGGTCTTATCGTCTCAGGTATGTCATTTCTTTACGTTTCGAGCACACAAAAATCTATTGATCTAATTTGATGGCTATTTTTTCTTTTTTTTAAAAAAAAAACTGCTTATTTCAGAAATTGCAAAAGATCAATTATTTGATACACCATTAGTTCGACCTCACGAATTTAAAGTATGGGGGAAATACTCGGTGTGGTCGACTTTTATCATTTCAATCGTTGGTACTTTGATGATTTACATCTCTTCTTAAGTAAATATATTTGAAAGGGAACTGTAAGATTTTTTTTTTTAGAATAATGATTTTTTTATTTTTTATATTTTTATTGATTTACAATATTAGACATTATCATACAGTTTGGTGAATTACAATTTCCTTTACAAAAAAAAAAAAAAAAAAAAAAAAAGAGCTTTTTTCATAGTTTTCTCATCATAGAAGGAATAAATAATGAATTTTTTAAAATCAAAAAGTCAAACCTTTCATTCATTTAATCATCAATTGGAACATGACCAGGCATATTTTCAATTCTACGTAACCAAGCTTTAATTTTAGGAAAACTATCAATAGAATATCCAGCTACAAGAATTTTTTTTTTTTTAAAAAAAAAAAATTATTAAAGATCCAAATTAACTTTCTTTTAAAGTAAAGATTAAGTACCTTCTTCAGCACAATGAGTATAAGCATAAAGAGCAATATCGGCAATAGTGTACTTATTAGCGACGAACCAATCCTCATTACTTAAATGTTGTTCCATGATATTTAAAGCTTCATAACCTTTTTTTTGACGCTCAACGATTTGATCAAGGTATTGAGGATCTTCACCTTTATTCAATAAAGTTAGCCAAAATCTTAATGTACCAAAATTTGGTTCATGAGAATATTGTTCCCAGAACAACCATTGCATTATTTTTGCTCTGTCTATTGGATTTGATGGAAATAATGGTGTACCATCCGAAATAAACGTCAGGATCGCGTTGGATTCTGTTAGAATCGTTGATTGCGTTTCTACGACGGTGGAGGAATTCTCATTTTGACTTTCATTGGGAGTGGAAGAAGGGGAGAGTGCTGTGGAAAGAGTAGTAGGCTTGGCAAGTTTGTGAACGTAATCTGGTGGGATTATTACCACTGGAACTTGTCCATATGATGAAACGTTGTTTAAAAAATGATCGGTACGCGTTTCTCCTTTTCTTATATCGATATCAACACGTAAATGCTGTATTCTCAATAATGAGAATAATAATCGAACCTATAACGTTTAAAGGTATTAAATCAAAAAAAAAGTGAGGTTAGTTAAAAAGTATTTAACTTGAAAAAACAAAAATTACCTTGTAACAATTTCCTGAAGGAGCATAATCATATAAAGTAATCACAGTCATATTTTAAAGAAAAAGAAATAATGGATAAACTGGAGAGATTTAAAAAAATCCGTACCGCATTGAATTGATTGGCTAAAATCCTGAAATTCTTATTTTTGTTAATGATTTTCCTTAAAGGTGAATCATTATAACATTTACTTTTGTTGTGATTGATTAGCTAAATTAAATCTCTTATTAACTGTATAAAATAAAAAATGATATAGGTTGTAAGGAAGTAGATTCATATGATTTATATAAGTTTTTGATAGAAGGATTCATCTGATATACTCTGTCAATTATTGTAAGTAAGTTTTGCATTTTTTTGATAAATAAACAGATTTTACATGCTTTTATCTATTTAATTATAAATTATTTAAAAGATAGTAAAAGAAATAATTTAATATATATATTAAAGATAGATAGAAAGATATTTGAGATACTATTAAAAAGAAAATGATCTAAATTCAAAAAACAATTAGAAAAAAAATCTGTCTGATAAATAAGATTGAATTTTTTCAAAATGATGATTAGATCTAAAAATAAAATTACATAATAATCAGAAGAATTATTAGTATTTGATAGTAATAAGAAAACTAAAAGAAAAATATTACTGTTATTTATATTTAATGAAACTAAAATATTAATTAAGAAAAATATATATTATAAATAAGAATGTTTATAACATGTATTAATAGCTTTATCTACTTATATAACAGACAACTGTTTATCTAGTATTATTACTAATATAGCATCTAAGATATCAAATTTTATATTAGTTACTCATTATGACAATTCATATTGCATTTAAAGAAAAACTAAAATAATTTTATACTTATCTTTTTATTATATTATCATATTAGATATCTTTAATGATAAAACATATAAAGCTAAATACATTTAATTAAATAACATCTTCATAATATTTCTTTGTTATAAATAATCTTTTAAAATAGATTATTTAAGGTTAAGGATTTGATCATAGATAAATGCATATTAATTTCTAAAGGAATATTAAAAATAACAAAGTAAATTGATTAAAATCTTTTAATCTTAATGGTTGGATCTTAAAAAAAGGAAATTAAGAAAATCTGTATTAGAATTAATTATTATTCTTAAATTATAATTATGCATTAATATATAAATTACTATTAGAATTTGTTATTAGTTATATCAAATATTTATAAATCAGTGATAACATATTATTTATTTGTTCTAAAACTAGTGTTATCTGTTCATTTAATAAATATTAACAATAAAATAAATTTGCAGCTTCTTATTAATATACTTATAAATATTTTTAAGATAGTTAATTAAAGGTAGATTTAAAGATGAGTAGATTAATCTTGATAATTATATGAGATAAATATTGTTTATTTAAAAAGCAAATAATTTTATAGGTTTAATATTAACGTTAATAATATCTTAATATTTTATTTTATTTAATAAAAATATTATAAGAATATTAAATCAAAATACAAAACTTAGTACTAAACTTGAAATTTTATTATTAAGTCAAAAAAATTAAAGAAAAGAATTATAAAATTAGAAGAAAAATTGTACAAAGTATATAAAAGCTTCGTACTTTAAAAGTTTTTAAAGAAAGACTTCTACTGAATTTGTAAAATATAATGATTAGATTTATTTATTTTATTTATATTATATATACGCTAATATTAAATCAAGCTTTTTGAGTTTTTTTAATATAATGTAACAGTTATTTGCAAGAGAAATCAAGCTGATTTAAATTCTATTATTACTTGTTAAAAATAAATTTCAAAAAAATTTTTTGCTGATAAAATTAGTATTATTCTAGAATAAGTTAAAAATCATTAAAACTAAAAGGATCTAGAATATCTAATGTTAGTAATATCATTACTTTTTTTTAATAGTGTTAACATTAATAAATTTGCAAAAAAAATCTATTTATAGTACTTTACATGCAACTTGATGCATTTAGATATTTTATGAAACTATACTTATATTATAGCAAGAACTTTATGATTTTCAGAATAAAAAGAATATAAAATCCTAATAAAAGTATGAGTCCTAACGTTTATAATACTAGGGAACGGTGAGGGCCATTGTGAAGTCTGAAGCGTGAAAGGTGCGAAGATGTGAAGAAAATATTCTGAAGATATAATGTAAAAAAATTCTTTCGTCGCAATATCACGCGTTCGTTCATTAAATGATATCTCCTTCAAATAGTTCACGTTTGAAAGGTTACTTCATATAAAGAATTTGCGAAGGTTATAAGAAAGAAAACTTGAAAAAGGATGACTAGTTTCATTAATATCGGAAGAAGACATAATTTAACATAATAGTATGAAGCATTAAAAAAAATAGGAATAAAGCATCAAAATATTATTTTAATTTACATTTCTCAGAAAAAATAGCAATACAAATAAAAAAAAATATAAAGCAAAATTTTTTTTTTAATGCAAAAAGTTTTTAAATAAATTTGATAAAATTTGGGAAATGATCACGAGCAACACTGACAAATACAATAACTGAACATTATCATCTTATAGGTCAAGCAGACAGACAGAATAACATTTTGTATCACTGAGCCTAAACCATAATAGTTCTTCGCTACGCTTCAGACTAATAAAGAAACTTTGGGAATTTATATCCTTAGATCATAAACAAAAAAATACAGATGATAATATCAATAGGTAGTGTATAAAATTCACATACATAATATGCATATAAGCATATCAAAATTTTTTGTGCACAAATGACATCACAAAAATATACATATTTTATACATAAAAATTATTTTTTTTGCATATTTTGTGCATATTAATAATGTATTATATATTGAGTACATATTACATACATATTACTTATATATTATTTAATAAAAGCTATTTTATTATTCTTTTTTGTAAGCTAAACTTTTTTATGATATAAAACTTCTTTTTTATAGTTTTGAAGACTGGATAACTGAATTAACTAACTTAAGTATATAGAAGAGAATTAGTATTAATTTTGTTAAAAAAAACATATTAATATTTTTCTTTTTTTCTTTAGGATGCTAAAAAAACTTCTTTTTGTAAAAATATTGAACTAAGACAAATTGAATAAGTAAATGAATAAATAGGAAGTATATGAATGGAAGTATGTGAATAGAGGTAAGTGTTAATAAGAAATGTTTCTAATATTCTTTCTTTTTATAAAATATCAAATTTCTTAAATAATTAAACTTCACAATAAGTATAATTAGGTAGTTAGTATAGTAGATATGATAATAATATTATGAAAATAACTTTAATGTTATTTTTATTTATTTAGTTTCTCAAATGAAATGATGGGTTATAATAGTAATTTAATGAATCAATGATCTGATTATATCAATTTAGATTTAGAACTATTGTCAAATTTTTTGAAACACTTTTTTTTCTCACACATTTTTTTCTATACATTTTTTTTTATATTGCTCACTTTAATTTTAATAAATAATTTTTAATGATTTTAATAAGTTTTTGATTAAAAATATTATAACAAATAACAAATTTTTTTACATCTGTTAACTTAATCGATACTAATTCTATCTATACTATAACCTAATTTATCATATACTTCTTTTAGATATAGTCCTTGCAATTATAATAATAATAAAAAAATTATAATATACCTAAACAAAAAAGAAAAAATCAAAATTCTAATTATTTAAAAAAAGAAAATTTAATTTTTAAATTATCTTAGCAAATAGGATGATCTTAGTTAAAACATTAAATTATTGATAATAAAAATTTTATATTTTGTACTATTTGCTAAAAAGCAAAAGGTAATAGTTTATAGGTAATATTAGAATGTGATACTATAAAATTAAAATTTGTTAAAAGACACGAAAATTCAGTTGAATCAAAAATTTTTGTAAATTCTTAATTCAAATCAAACTGGTATTAAAGAAGGTATAAATCAAATATTAGGAATGTATATGGATAATGTAGTTACTCAAATACGCAATATTTACTTTCTTACTTCACAAAATATTGCTATTAATATTTATCCTGATTTAGCTAATTTAGTTAATTATCAAAAAACGTTTTACTTTTATGATTAGTAATATTCCTTTACAAGTATTTCAATTACTAACTTTACCATAGATCAATAAAAAATATCTAGATCTAATTATGCAACATATACAAATAAAGATAGTAGACATGAATTATTAGTATCTTTAATATGTCTAATTTAAGAATCAGTAATTAATGAAATAAAATTATTATCATATTGGAGTTTATTAGTAAAAGAAAGTAATACAGTATTAAAAGGTGAAAAAATATTAGCTTTAATTTTAAAATATATAGTTAATAATATTTCAACCTTACGCTATTTAGAAATTACTGCAGTATCTAATACTCCTATAGAAATATTACTTAAAGCAATTGATTTATTTATTTTACAAAAGAATTACCTGTAAATAAATTATATTATTTAGGAAGTGATAGAGTATCAAATATGACAAATTTGTATTTAATTAATAATTATTAATTAATAATTTTATAATATATAATTAGTTATTAATTATTTATAGGAGTTAGAAATGGGTTAGTTGCTTTATTAAAAAAAGAAATCCTTATTTGTCTTCAAATTATTATATTACATATCAATTATATTTAGTAGTTAAAGATATTGAAAATGAAGTTTCTTATTTTAATAGTTATAAGGAAATAGTTAAATCTATTTACACCTTTTTTTCTAATTCTTATAAACGAATATATAGATTAAAATCAATATAAGAAAGTAATGAAAATCCTGATTTAGCAATTTTAAATATTGTTAATACAAGATGACTTTCTTGAGTAGTGGTTATTAATAATTTTCATCAAACTATTGATGATATTCATTTGGCATTAATTCAATAAAAAGAAATAAATTTAATAGCTAATTTTTATATTAAATACTTACAACAGAATTTTATATTTTTACAAAATTTTTGGCTAATATTCTTTCAACTTTAAAATTATGATTTTAGTTTTTCAATCAGATTATGTATCTTTGGCTGAAACTTATTGACAATTATCAATGACAATTGAATCTATAATATCAGATTTTATTGGAAATAAAAATTCTTTATCACATTATGGTATTCATTTAGCTAATTATATTAATGAATATAATTTATCAGGTGGCGATTTACCAGGTAATTTAATTTATTTTTGATTTTTATAAATAAATATTATAAATTGATATTAAATACATTCTTTTCAATTATTTAACTAGGGAATGGTTTGTTAAGTCCGAAACGATATTAACTAAAAAAAAATATTGCAAAAGCCAATCAGTATCGACTCAATTATTGAGCGGGCAGACAACGGGACCAGGGACGATGATTTTTTGTGGTGATATAAAGTAAATTTTGTGTGTGATAAAAATAAATTCTGTGAAATTTTGTGATTTGGCCGGATTTAAGCAAGGTTGGCCAACATTACGACTCGTAAATTCTGCCCAAATTTAGTGTTTACCGGAATTACAATGATTGCAAATCCTAAATTAGGCCAAAAACTTGAACCAAATTTTGTGATTTTCTGTGAAATTCTGTGATCACAATAAATCATTGTCCCTGAACGGGACACCTCGAGAAACATGTGGCTAGTATATGAAAGTCCTTCGCTTCGCTCCGGACTAATAATGTACATATTATGCATATATTATTTTTAGAAAAATTTGTGCACATTAAAATTACTTTGTGCACATATGATGTCATAAAAATGTGCACATTTTGCACATGATTTTTGGTCTAAAGTATTATCATTATAAAGCTATTGTTACACTTGGCTCATGAGATTATTTTAAGAATAAAATACTGTTTGAGAAAAAAAATTTTTTTTTTTCTGAAAAATCCCGAAATAATGGTTATTTATTGTTTCTTTTAAAACATTGTTTACCACCTTCAGCGCAAGTAAATCCGTGGTGAGCATTTATTATCAAATAAGTAAGAAAAGTAAGATTGTTGTCGGTAATTAGTTTGTATTTATTTCAGGATTGTAATGTAAATATAAAAGAATTAGTAGTATTAAATGTATTGAGTATAGTGATAATAATAATAATATTCAATATTATTATTATTCATTTTTTTATTCATTAAAAAATATAATTGAGTTTTCTATGATTTATAAGGAGGAGGAGGTTCCACAAAGATATCTTGAGAAAGGCAATAACGTTCATGTGGATGATATGAAGAAGGATAAATTGAATGTTCTCTTGTAACAGGATTAAAAGTGCATATTTGATGACTTTCATCATTATTCAATGCTAAACTAGTAAACATCCATCTTCTATGATAAGCTGTTGACGGTCGAGAGGGCAGTGATAAATCTGCATCTATTGTTCCGCAGCTTACAACACTGTTTATTGAAGTACGAAAACTTTGACTTGATAAAACACTTGCAGATGTTGAATTGATAGAATAAACGGTTTCAATGTCATCAAACGCCGCCCTTTGTTGAGCTGAACACGAGCAAGGAAAAGTATATGATGAGAAATATGCCAAATTAATAAAAAATATATATATATATGTGTTCAACGATTATTATATTTACCCTTTTGTCGTTTTTTAAACATATTTAAAAAAAATAAAATCAAGAAACAAAGAACAAGCAATAAAATAAAACTAAGGATAACAATTTTTTCATTTCGTTCATTTAAAGTCTTATGGATTCTATTTGGAGTATCTCTTTTATACACGAGTCCACCTGTGAATTCATGTTTTAGTCGAGTTTCTCCGGCAGCCAGAAATTGAGATAGAATAAAGGGCATTGTAGCGAATTTCGTGGGTTTTTTTTTTGTTTTTATATATATATATATTTGTTTATGAAAAAATGAATTATACTGCTCGCATAACAATAAAGTAAGTAGCAAGAATACATTCGTATCAATAAGTTGTCAAAAAAAATGTTTCTCTAAAAGAAAGTTAAAACGTTGATTGCCCTTTAGCTTTTGTCCTCTTAATCACTTCCACATGTAACAATAGACCCGCTATATTTCCCAAATGTAAGCTCAATCAAAAGAGTTATATCTTTATTTAAAAGAAAAAAAACCTATTCATCATTTAATTAGTTGTATATCACTTCTTAATTTACTCGATATTGAGTTTATTATCACAATCAACTAAATCGGTAGAATGTCCAATTCAAACCTTTTTATTTTATATTTTTGCAATTTCCCATGCAGCAAATAAATTTTTTAATAGATTGTTTTCATTATGCACTAAATCTCGTATCAAATTTTCAAATTAACCAATCATAAAGTTATCTTTAGAACTTTTAATTAAAGGAATGTATGATCAGTTTATTTTGACACGATTTTCGTGTCACCTTTTCTATTTCTGCGATTAAAATTGCTAAAAGTAAATTTTTTTCTTATGGTAAATCTTTGTAAATGTGACATTATCATTTGACTTAAATTAAACTCAAATCCTTTACTTATATTTTTCATTCCCCACCCCTAAAAAACGTCTTTTTTATTTTTTTCAATGAAATTGATCATCACGCTTTCCGATCAAAATAATATTTATATTTAATCTTGTACGACAAATGACTAATAAAAACAACGAATTTATTTATTCGAACAATTATTAATAATCTAAACAATATTTTGTTTGTCTAACTATACTTGCCTTGAACAAATCTCGCAAATAAGCAGAAATGATGATTTATGCTAAATTTTTTCCGTGAAAATAAAGCAATCCCCATTGTAAAAATTTATTAAACGATTATTAATGGGCTTAGGTAAGTTGCCATTGTTTTTATTAATGCTTAATTAATATCAACAGAACGAATAGATGATTACTTATTTTGTGTTCACATCTTATTTGCTACTTCCCATTTGGGAAGGATGTGACATTCAATGTGCGTGACGGATATTCTACTTCACTCCTCTGATCGGGTTACACCAACAAATCCACTTATGTCGTCGCTAGAATATCGCCAAACGCTTATGACGACAGTGTTCAAATAAATGTACATGCCTTTGTGAAAGCCTTTTAGCTTACAGTCTGTTGACAAGTGTTATTTGCACTCAAAATATGCAAAACACGTTTCGTTTCTAGCCACTTTATATTCATGTTCGTAATAAAGCCAAAGCTGAACTTGGCAACTTCAAGGTATATGTTCATAAATTTACGCGAGGTATATTAAATTTGGTTAATTCAGATAAACTTGACAACCCAGAAGTCGTGGATTTCTGGAAGGAGGTACAGGAGAAAGATCAACGGATAAAAGCTTACTGAACTACCCATTGATCAGCATACACTAGATGAAAAGTCTTATCTGAGTTCACTTCACATCAAAATGGTTGCGAGATTGGCGTTCTGGAGTCGTCGGTTAGTATCCGACATAGAAAAAATGATTCCCATGATGTTGCAGAAGATCTTACAACTGACGCATCTACCGAGTTTTTTGCTAGTACCGCAGAGAATCATGACACAAATGAAGACATTTACAAAGAAAAAATGGAATCTTAAGAAACTTTTGGTAAGATGAAGCGATGAGTCTTATCAAGTGGAACTGATGTTGCGGTTGAGTTAAGGGAATAAGCTCAAACTATTCCAGACGCTCAAAAATATTTAAAGTGAGTTCTTACGATTTTCTGATGCGCTTAACTATGATGATTTTATTAAATGCAGGATTTTTTTTTTTTTTTATTTGTACTTGCAGTCCCCGCCCGTCTACTGGGGAATTAGACCTTGCGGGTAAATCACATTGAAACAAAAGCTCTTTCTACACCTGAAGATTGGACGGAACTGGTACAGAACTTTGAGCAAGAGGTCAAGCTCTCAAAGACCAGTGCCTAAGACTTTATGTTGCCTTTTCGATAAAATTGACAAGGTAGTTTATGTGATTCATTATATTATGATTGAAGAGGATTTTTTTTACTCATTGATTTATTTACAAAATTAACAACGGATTGTAAAGAGCAGTCATACATGAAATTCACCAGAATCAATTGTAAAGACAATGACCTCATTTTACTGTTAACATATCGTTTTAACATAGTGTATATTTCATTATTAATTTTATCGTATTCATTTTCTCTACTTTATACTAACAAACAAAAAATATGTTTCACACAGTATTGAGAACTTACCGGTGTTGACTTGTTCCCTAACATGTTAAAAGGTTTCTTGATAAGACGGAGCTTAAGATCGATGTGTAAGTTCGAAATGAAAAAAAAAAAAAGAAAATTGGATATGTTTAACAACATAATTTATTTTCTTTAGAGGCGGAATATGCTGCTTGAGCTTCTGCTAAACTACGAAACGAAGGACATTCAACTATACTGCAAGCTCGAATCGAACAGAAATGTGATTTTAAAGGAACCCCGAAAATTAATGTTGACATGCTGAAAACAATTGTTGGACTTGGAAGTGGCGGTCTTCCCGAAACGCATCGAAAATAATTTTTTGAAGACCATGTTGATTTGGCAGTGACAATGCGAACGAATTTTTTCGTGCAAACCAAATGCCCCTGATGATAAATTACATCAGATCTATGTTCTCCTTGGAATACAATATCAATGAAGTTATAGCTCAAATATTAATCACAAAGGATGGGTACACGATGTATATGCCATGGGTTGCAAGGCAACAAACTTTTATCGGCTTGGCAAACTTCGTAGAACAAAGTTGCCAAATACGATGCGTATGATTGCTTAGAGGAATTTTATGCGATTATTTCTGATATGAAGGTAAAATATACACACTCTTCTTTTTTTCGTATAATGGTCTCACTAAGTATGTTCATTCGATTTTAGGCTACCCTGAAGGCCATCTGTGATAAGACAAATGATATCGCGCTAGCGAATTCTCGAGCACACAGAATAGAGAAAAAGAAGAGAAATGAGGAAAAATATAATGCTACGGTTGGAGATTTCTTCGGAATGTGATGAGGACGTCTAGGAAGAAACTTGACGATGACAATCAAAATTTATTTTATAATATTAATGAACTCAAGTCAAAAGAGAAAGAATACTTTATTAATTGGCATAATAAACAAATTTAGAGTCTGACTGACATTTTTTGTATTAAAAATTATTATTATAGTACAAAAGAATCGTTCTTACCTTTTTAGATGTTATCCGTTTGCGTTTCTGAGAGAATAGCCGCAGACTTAAAAAGTCATTATAAAAATATTAATTATTATGTACAATCAGTTCATCATTAATATAACTAAAACTATTTGAGCTATCCATGAATCGAGCACTCATTCGCACATTTTTAAACTTTTCATCATGCAAGAAGTGTACAATATTAAGTCTGCAAAGTTCTGTAATAGATGGATAATAGGGATTTTGGGTTGAATTATCCTCACATGTAAAATGTACTATCCAAACGTCTTCCGCAGATATCTTATTCCCAAACTCAATTGCCCGTACAAAATGTTCATTGAGTTGTGTTCTAGTTGCAGTAGCTAAAAGTTCTAATACAACTGTTTGACGCGGAGTTTTGATTACAATATCACTATATGTGTGTTTATTTTTTTCGTTGGCACAATATTCTACAAAATGCCACAGACAAGTGACCTCGAAATTACGTTGTTTGGAAATCCAGTTGATTAAGACTCTGTTCATCTCTGTATCATAGGTGCTTTCTCGGGGAACACGTTTATCTTTTTGACCGTTCACATATACATCACGTGCTGTTTTAAATGACCGATAGAATGCTCTGGAAATAATGTCTTGGTCAAAGAAATGAACGACTGTCTTCAAAACGTTGACGATATCAAGGAATCCATCACATTTTTCAGGAACTGCAACTGTTGGGGTGGACTTGAATAATTCAGGAATGGCTCTTTCTCAAAGGAGCTCATCTACTAGGGCGGATGACATTTTGAATCTATCTTTGGTCTCTTCATCCCTAATTAACACACCCTCAGCTGTTAAGAATTCTGCTAAGTTTTTTTCTTTGTTGTCAACGATATGTACTAAACAAAGAATCCTATAAATGCAGATTGAACAAGCTGCATAGCTTGCCTGGCTTTATCTTTGGTAAGCATATGAACCATCTTTCTGAAGGTGGCATAATCAAGCACCGATTTTTGCAGTGAATTGATGAAGTTTAACTAGGTTAAGAAGTCAAGCCTTCTTCTTTCATCAAGTTTTCTCATTAAATCTATATAAATAGCTTTTCCGCAAAGACATACAAGACCTGCATGTCTTATAACAAAACAGAATTGTGGAAAGTGAATTTTAGATTGATTTATCACGTGATTATACGACAAAATTCACATACCCATTTGTTCTCGTGTAAATGTTCTCAACAATTGCTGAATCGATGATGAAATTGTAGTCATATGCAAAATCTTTATATAATGACAGTACTTGTTTCTTCGTAAAATTTGGATTTTGAAATGAATCCTTCACATTGAAGGATGACATACTTTTATTTGAACTCAAATGTAAGATACTGAAGAGACCAACGGCCATAGAAGACCAGAGAAAATAATTATCTTTTGCGTTTTTAATGTTACAGATGGTTCTAAGAAACGAGGCTCTAACATCATCACCTACTTCATACAATACATCGTACTCATTGACAAATAGAACCACTTTTTTTACACTTGTCTTTACCAAACAATCTAGCAATTTACTAGCAGATTTGATACCAGAAAATTTGATATTAGAGACGGTATTAGTTTCAAACGAATGGTTGAGTGATATCCAGAATTTATCTATAGATTCTATGTTGACCAGCTTGAGAGTTATGCTTAAAAATAGAATCAACAATCAGACTCTGAAAATGTGATTATTGACTTAAACAAAACTCATTAAACAGAGTTTACTAAATACAAATAAAGACTTTGCGTATAAACTGTTTCTTAGCTTGAATAACACGTGTGAATTTTCTGAAGTGCGCGCACCATATAAGGTGACAAATTCTCCTCTTTGAATCATATTGAGAAGTGAAACATTCTCCTTCGCTAGATCAATGAAGTATACAGTGTTACGCTCTGCATCTGAAATAGCATAATTAACTGTCCATCTTTTTTTATTTGTGTCTGTACCTGTAGAGAACTATTTGTAAGAATAATGGAAAATAAACAGAGTTCTACCAAATAATTTTTATGTTCTTCTGTTATTTCCCTTTTTTCTTTAGTTCTAGACCCTCAATTTTATCTTGTATGAGCATTATAAGTACAAATTCAGTGCTAATTTAATAACATTGTCTTATAGATATACAACAAAAACTATATTGCTATATTTTCTTTACCTATACACACACTACTATGCCTGAGTCAGAAAATCGTTATCTGTTTGAGATGTATTTGTCATTTCATAGAACTTTTCTCTCCACTTTTTTACTTTCTCACTCCACTTTTACTTTTCCATCTCCAGACTCTTTTCTTTTCTTTCCAAGTTCGTCCGCTCGCTATTTCACCTAGACTATACCGTTCCATTCCTCAGTTCTTCCAGTATATTCAACTTCTCTTCTACATTATTCAACCTTTTCTTCGCGTCTTCTGACTCTTATTCAACTTGTTTAAAAATCACCATTTTTTTGGTTCGAGAAAAGATGTGCTGCGTGATATAATCTAATATTGTAATATACTAACTCGATTGATCATCTGTAATATACGATGATATTTTTTAGTAATAAGTATTGCTAAAACAATATATCATTTAAAGTAATTAAACAAGTCTGTCAACTTTCACAAATAACATTCTACAAAAATGCTTAACTTCTCGAGCAAATTCTTTTTTTTGAATATTTGCTTCGTTCTTGACTTGTTGCTAAATAGCATAACTTATAAACAAAAGATTTTGAACAAAGTTATTTTCATATTGAAATTTTCATTATTAATCATTAATAAATTTATAAGATTTTATATTTATGAATTAATATTTTTTTAGGGGATTTATTGTTTAAATTTGTTAATAGTTTTAGCATATATACAGAAACCTTATTGATGATAAAGTTCAAATACCTTTTATATATAGTTAAATAGAATAATCTAATTTTAAGTTTTAAATTACTAAAACTTATTATCTAATTTAGCAAAAAAGGTAACAAAATCTAACAGTTACTTTTATAATCTTGGGTTAGGATTTATAAATCCTTTCTAATTCTATAGGAAGCTCTTGTTTTTCTTTACATATCATAAAGAACTTTTATCAAAGTTTTAATTGTGCTCTAATAACTAGTAAAATATTGATTAGATATAAAACGATTAAAAATATGTTTTAATAAAATAATTAATATTATCTAAGTTAATATTTGTATTTATATTAGACATTGGTAAGTCTTTTAAGGTATACTTCTTATTGCACAGGCCTGGCTCAACGATATTTTTTAACAAAAATTGATTACCAACTTTTAAATACTAAACGTTCCCTCCCTTTGCGCTTTTCATAAATCCCATGAGATTTGATATTGCTTTTATCACAATTATGTACTACACAAAGTCCGCAATTAGGTGACAATGCATTTTTTTTTTCGTTATGAAAATTAAATTTTAGTTATGATCGGCGATAAATTTCAGATGTGATTTTTACGTAAATTCTCATATAACTTTATAAGATTTATTAACGGATTATTTTTTATAAAGAATATTTTATTTCACAAAAAACAAAGTAGAATTGCAACGATTATACAAAATAAAATAAAAAATTATACATATTATTTACTTATAGACAACGCAAAGTAATTTAAAAATTATTCATTGAGGAAGAAAAATAATATATGTTAATTTATCGGACACCCAATAAATATATCGACATAATTTAAATTTGACATTTAACCGTTTGTACAATAACAATAACAAGCGCTCAAATTACAAACAAAATATCTATAGCCGAGGAGGTAACATAAATTCTCACATTCTGACGGAGTGTATCCACCACAATAATAGCATTCCGAAGGGGAATTACCAATTCCGTCGGTAGATTTTTAAACTTTTGAATAGAAGGGTGTGCAGGAGAAAATTCAATTTCGTCGGTAGATTCTCCGAAATTTTCAAGCTTTTGAATAGAGGGTTGTGGAGAATAATCGATTTCGTCGGTAGATCCTTTGATAGTTACAAATTTTTGACTAGAGGGTTTTGAAAAATAAACAACATTTTTGGTAGATTCTTTGATAGTAGCGCCAGAACA